CAAAGATTAATTGTCCATCTGTGGGTTTATTTCCAGGTTTTCTATATGATTCCATTGGTCTGTGTGTCTGTTTTTGTTCCACTACCATGCAGTTTTAACATTCTGCTTGTAGTATAGTTTGAAGTCCAGGATTGTGATACCTCCATTCCCCTTCTTTTCAGTCAGGTGAGCTTTGGCTTTTGGAGGTTTTTTTGTTTCTCCATATGAATTTCATCAATATTTGTTCTACTTCTTTGAAAATGTCATTGAAATTTTTATTGAAATAGCATTGAATCTATAGATTGCCCTTGGTAGGGTGGCCATTTTAATAATGTTAATTGTTCCAATCAAAGAGCAGGGTATATATTTCCATTTCTTTGTGTCTTCTTCTAATCTTTTAACAATGTTTCATAGTTTTCTTTGTTAGGCTTTACCTATTTGTTAGGCTTATTCCCAAGTATTTGATTTTTTTTTGTTTTCCTTTTAAAAGGATTTTTTTTTATTTCTTCTTCAGATTGATTGTTTGCATATAGGAAAACTACTGATTTTTGCATGTTGATTTTGTATCCTGCTACTTTACTAAACTGGTTGATTATTTTGATTATTTTTTCTGTGGAGTTTTTGGGGTTCTCTATGTATATTATCATATCACCCACAAATAGTGATATTTTACTTCTTCTTTCCCTATTTGGATTCCTTGTAAGTCTTTCTCTTACTTCTCCTGCTAGAACTTCCAGTATTATATTAAAAAGCATTGGTGAGAGTGGACATTCCTGTTTTGTTCCATCTAAAGGGAAAGACTTTCAGTTTTTCACCATTGAGAATGATATTATCTATGGGTTTGTCATATATGGCCTTTACTATGTTGAGGTATGCTCCTTTTTCCTGAGAATTTCAAGAGCATTTATCATAAATGGATGATGAAATTTGTCGAATGCTTTCTCAGCATTTGTAGATATGATCATATCGTTTTTATTATTTTTTGTTTATGTGTTGGATTAAATTAATTGATTTTTGGATGTTTAACCATCCTTGTGTCCCTGGAATAAATCCTACATGGGCATGGTGAATTATCTTTTGATGCGTTGTTGGATTCCGTTGGCTAAGATTTTATTGAGGATTTTTGAATCAGTTTTCATTAGAGAGATTAGCCTGTAGTTTTCTTTTTTTGTGTTGTTCTTGTTTGGTTTTGTTATAAGTGTAATGTTGGCTTCATAAAATGTATTTGGTAGTATCTGTAGGGAGTGTTTTCTCAATATTCCCAAACCGCAGAAATAATTTTCCAAACCAAACCCAATAGAAACTTTACTTTCAGATAGCAGGGAACCCTGTACATGCGAAAGAAACAATAAACTGAAATGAAAATGATTATAATAATGCATCAGATATTCAAAGAGGAACAGAGTACCCTGGTATTTCAAAGTCAGTTCTTTCCCCCTCCTCCTGCCAGAAGCACAAGGAACTCTGTCCAGTCTTTACTGGGAAGTCCTGGTGGATTCCATGGAGATGAAATTCACGAAACATGGGGACACCCAGTTACTAGGTCGCCCTAGAGTTTTTGACCTTCATACTCATCCATGCTGCATGTCGTAATCCATCAATGACAGGCTTTCCAAGCCCAGCACTGGTTCCGTAGAAGGAGTTTCCTTGTTCTAGCTGCTGTGATTCTCAGCAGCCTGTATGTCTCTAGTTATGGGGCAGTGTTTTGTCCTGTGACCTCACTTACCTGAGGGACCCAGGAGAGTGGCTGATTTCTCAGTTTGTTCCTTATGTCCTTATGGTGCAACAGTGACTTCTAAGCTCCTTACATGCTGGGCAGGAACGGGAAGTTTGGTTATGTGTCTATTGTATAAATAATATCTGATGCATTCGTTTTGTAAAAGTATCACAGAATATTTAAACAGAGAAAGACAAAATACAAAAGTCTTTGTTTACCTATATCCCTGTTTTCACTTTGCTTCCCATGAGAAGTGATAATATAAAACTTGCTACGTGAATTTCTACATTTTTTGAAAGCATCTACATTCACTCACCCTATCTTATAAAATTTCCTTTTGTAGCATTCATTTCCTTATTTATTCATTTAAAATATGTGACAGGAAAAAATGGGAAGATAAAATGGTAAGAAAACTAGCCACAGTCCTCATAAAATTCTCTTGGGCTGGAGATAGATCTCATATCTTAGATCGCACTGATACTCCTAAGGCCTTAGCCCTGGTAGGTTCTATCAAGGAACAGAGAGAAGATTGATCCAGTTGGAGAGAACTGCATATTATGCGAATGCCTTTTAGGGAACTGCGAGAGGACAAGTGTGCATGTAGCAGAGGATGTGGGGCAAGGTGGGAGGACGATATGCTGGGACATCCTTTAAAAGTATAAAAATGTCTTCTTTAGTGTCTGTACATCAGAGCAGTAGCTTAGCTGCCTTTGCAGGGACAAAAGCTGCCCAAGGAATTTTGGCAGGAAATGAGTTAGATTGGACATAAATATAGGAAGCTCTCTCTCTCTCTCTCTGTCTCTCTGTGTGTGTGTGTGTGTGTGTGTGTGTGTGTGTGTGTGTGTGTCTGTGCGCGCATTGAACTGACCTTCTGGGGTGATAATGAATGAAGGGGGATGAGCAAGTCTGTCTGCCATTCATTTATTTGATACACAGTTACTGAGCACCTGGTATATCAGAACACTGTTTTAGGACCTGGGAATATAACAGTAATGCAAGTAAGTCAAAGTCCATTCCTCAGGGAACTTACATTTTAGAATTAGGCAACACCAGTAATGAAGGGGTAATAGAAACACAACACTGTCAAGAATGTAAGTATTGGAGATGATTGCTAGTCCCAGAATCTTTATGGAATATTTTATTTGGCGACTCACATATTATCTTAAGGAGAGGATGTAAGTGGATGTACAGGGACCAAAAGAAATCCAAGATGTTACTAAGCTATTTGGATGAGGTCTAGCATGTAACTCTCCAGCAGCCCACTAGCTCCATTCACAGTCCTCATGGTATCCCACATCCCATCATACCCTTCCTCCTAACCTCACCTGCTGCTCCCCTCTCTCTGATTCACTCCTATCCAGCCTCATTGTCAGAAAGATTCTGACAATTCTCCAACCTCATGACCTTTGCAAAACTCAGTCAGCCCACTCAAGGGTTGCCAGGGAAAACGTAATTCCTAAACCCTTCCAATTCTCCACAGGAACAGAAATCATGGGTTCTGGCAGCCTGAAGGACGTCCACTGAAAAACCTGGTGTTGGCTGTTTGGAAGGAAAGCACCGGTGGAGGCAGTATGCACAAGCACAGCACTGGATCCCAGGGGCTGTGGGAAGTGCACTGACCCCATCGGGTACAAGGCATCTACTCTGTGCAGAAATATAATGCCCAGAGCTGGTGAATTTCACTATAATGCAGGTCCTCACGTAACATCATTGTGTTCAACGCCCAGCATTATATGTTGATAAGATAATAAAATAACCTGGAACAGCTTTCATTATTGGTCTTTTCTTTAAAAGTTACCGTTTCCTAAGCCTATGGTGGTGAGGGAACACTCACTGGTCTGGGGAAAGTCAAGATTACTAAAAAAAAAATGGCATAGGGGAAATCTTTTTCACTTTAGAATAATTAAGGCCCATCTCTCTCATCACACAAAAATACACTTTTCATAGCCATTAAAAAGCTAACTTTCAATGAGAAACTAAAGCAAAAATGGGAGGAACACACAGCTGGGACTTTCTAAGCAGAATACAAACCTAGAGGCACTAAGGGAAGGATGACACTTTATATAAAATTCAATAGGTAGGTTTGAGAAAAGATAACACAGAAATCTAGACCAAAACTGGGAAACAAGGAGTCATCTAGGAAATAGGAAAATATATAAGAACCTGTAAAATCTTCCAATAAATCCGTAAGAAAATGTGAAATAACCAAGAGGAAGATGGAAAAAAATATGAACTGGTGAATCAGGATAACAAATACCAATAAACATAAAAGGCTGCTCAACCTCATGACTAACCAGCAACCTGAAAACAATAACTCAGTGAGCTATCACATTACTGCCATTAAATCAGCAAAAAAGTTTTAAAATTTGAATAAGCTCCACCACAAGCTAAAGTGTGGGTGTACTTTCAAACCTTCCCAAGTACTGGCACCATACTGGAGAGCATTATGGCAGCGACTGGAACATTAACATGAATCGTCCCTCACTAAAATTCCACTGTGAGAAGACTTGTGGGAGTGCTCCAATGTGCAGAGAGGGACATGCACACAGGATGCTTATAGCAGCTCAGTGGAGAAAAGTGTGTTCACCAATAGGAACATATTTAAATGAAATGGAACAAGAATTATACATAACAAATTATTGCAAGAAATATCATTACAGTTATCAAAATTATAAGATTAAGAGTACCAAAAAAAAAAAACAAACAAACCTAAAACAGAAAAAGCACGTTGTATAATAACATTAGCCAAGATACACTGCAGACATCAGACCCAGCTATGCACGCACACTAGGCTTGCATGTGCCCAGGAAGGCACTAAGGTTCCCCACGCAAATTGTGACATGAAAATACCTGCAAAGCCTTAGACAGTCTGTGCGTGACATGTAAGTGCTATCTACGAGTAGGCTATTTTTATTTACATATCTGTATATTTTCTTCTGATAATGCACCCCTGATGACTTATGCAACCTAGAAGTAAAGAATTCGGTTGCTACTGCAATGTATACTCCCTGCACCCAACTGCCTGCCCAGAACAAGGCCAACTACTCATCCCTCTGTCAGAGGGCCCAGAGCAGCCTCACACCAAAAGGGCGCGCAGGACCATCTATCAAAGGACCCTCTCACCCTTCTCAGTCCCAGAGGTAAGTTCCTGCAGCCCCCACACCCCAGCTCAGGTCCCTGCCTTCTCTCTCAACCTGCAGATGCTCAGGTTAGAGACCTCAGGGGCTGCACAGGGCGGAGGCTGCCCCGCCCGCTGCAGGCTCCATGACGTCACGCGCCGCTCGGAAAGGACGTGCCCCCCAGTCCCCCCTCCCCACCCATCTTTAGGGAGGGGCCCTAGGCGCTGACCCGGGGAAGGCGGTGGAGCGGCCGGTTCTGGTGGGGATGGTACCTGGGAGCTGGTCTGAGCTGAAACCCCGGGCGCTGGGAAGGTGGGATGGGCTGCGTGGGTTTGGGCTGAGGCTGGGGCGGGGCTGGCTTCTGCCCACCCTTGGCGACCTTCTCTGGGGGCTCCGGGCCCCCCCCTTTCAACGGTCCCGGTGGCCAGTGTAGGGGGCGGGGCGGGAGCCAGACCCTGGGGCGGCAGTTTGAGCTCTGGGGAGCTGAGCCCCCGGGTGCTGTCTGGGCGCGGGGAGGGACCCCGGGAGGGCGCAGGGGAAGGAGCTTGGTCATCGGACTCCAGAGTTGGAGCTGAAGGTCAAACGGTGGTGGGAATAGACGGGACAGGTCAGTCCAGGGACTTTCTAGGGACTCTGGTCCATGGGTCTGTGCGGGAGGTAATAGGGGAAAGAGTTACACTGCGTTGGAGATTGTCTGTCCTTCTCAGGCGGTGATGACTGCGGATTTAAGGACTGTGAAATCGTCATTCCTTGGTCTACCACCCTTTTCTCACTTGTATAGGAGTTTTTTTGGAAAAACTGGCCACTCCAGGTAGGTAAGATGATATGCAACCAAGTGTCAGTCTTGGAGAATGTTCATCATTTGACTATTGACTGGTCTTCCCTGTAGTAATAGAAGTTTCTGCGTTTTCTCTGTTCAGTACTGTAACCAGAAATCACATGTGAGTATTAGGCAGTTGAAATGTGATTAGTGCAGCTTTTCCTTTCATTTAATTTAGGGATTTATTTAAATAGTTACGTGATGACTGGTGGTCTGGTCTGGACAGCTCAGACTAATGACACGGATAGTGTAGTGAACAAACAGCAAACTCCCTGTGAAGTGATTTTCAGTTTTCTTTCAACAGCTTTTAGAAATTAATATTGTTGATTACTGGCTGGGGCGATAATGTTGTCTACCATGTATTAGATGTATTAGATCTTTTTGAAAATTGGTGGAAGAAACAAATGTGGTGTGTTATTCAATATCAGGTTAATTGTAGTGACTAAGATAAGAACTACTAAAATTGAATTCTTTCAGAATTTAATAATTTTCTATTGCATATTGTTTCCTTTTTGAATAGTCTGTTTGACAGTGTAACTTCTTGTACATAAAAATGACCATGAGTGAGAGCAGAGAAAAATTCTCATACATGAATATTTCCTAGGGTGGGGAAGAGTGACATTTGTGATTTTTGTTAATTGACTAGAAAAAATCTTAATTTTTTAGGGGTTTTTGTGCAATAAGATGTGTGCCTACTGGAATCTATTGAGAACAATCAAAAGTGAATTCAGGCTAGAGTTCTTAGTTTTAAATGAACTATATTTAAGAGGGGTAAGCAAATTTTAAGTCATTTTAAAGAGTTAGGTTTTTCTTCTGACTCATCTAGGTTTTAGGATTTGCAAAATCTTGTTGAGTACCCCAAAAGAAAATAAATGTGTGTTGGTGATTAATACATATGTAGTTTTCAAGTTATTAGTACATTGGCTTGAAAGTTTACGTACAGATTTGTCATTTTTTCTTGTTACCCCATTCTGAATTTGTGTGTATGTGTGTTAGTGAAGAGATATTATTTTTTCATATATTACTGTTTTTTGGATTTCATGTATTTAATAATTTGAGATGTATATAATACAATTTAAGATGTAATTACATTTTTAAATGGGAGTATAGGAGTATAGTATAGGGAGTAAGAAATAGAGGGGATCTTGTTCAGCTTAAGCATTAGAGAAACTGAAGTTCAGTCTTTTGGCATATTGTGCATAACTAATTGGTATAAAAATGAATGAAATAAGATCAGTGAATAAAAAAAATAACTTGTGTAGGATCATCACTTTCTAATGTTTAAAAAGAACTTTTGTGTGTTTCTACATACCTCTTGGAAATACTTTGCAATAATAAACTATTCCAGTAGAATTCCTTGTTAACCAGCTGACAAGTTGGTTGATATCTGAAATCTTCCACGTATACTTAGTGTGTTTAGTTATAAAATATAAAAACGTCAGCCTGGCCTTTGTTCTGGTAATGTACAGCTGGTAAGATCCAACATGGATAACTTCATTAAGGTATCTTATCCCTGTTGACAGGAAAACAATACATAATTTTGTGGAACTAGTAGAAGAGACCTGCTATTTCTTTGAGCACATTTCTCTACCATGTTCCAAGAATGATTAAAGTGGTTTATCAGCCGTACAGAAAATGCAATGAGATGTGCAAAGGTCTTTAAGAATTGTGAGACCTGGTTTGCAAATAATGTCACTCATCCATGGTCATGGGATGCAGTATTGCAGGCAATTACATTTTATGTGCAGGTTTTCAAAATGTTGATTTCATTTCTTGTTTTTCTTTTGAATTCACTCTTAAGTTCCTGCTTACCATGTAATTTCAGAAGGAATTCTAATACTCTGGATAATCAGATCTTTCTCGAACACTTCCAAGTTACAGGAAGGATCTGCTCTTATAGTCAAGGTTAAGGGGGAGTGCATATTACTGGCTTCTGTTTACATTGCTGGGGTCAATAGCATTCTTACAAAGAGATGTTAGAGCGGTAGCAAGAGGGACAACATGGACAGCTCCTGGGCACTGAATGCCCACTTGTAGGATTCCCTGAGTTTCTTGGGAAAGAAGGGCTGTTTTGAAGCCCCCTTGTCCCCACCCTACCCCTAATGTAGATGTGTCTGTATGATGAGGGATCCAGCTCAGGCCCTGCAAGGTGAACCCTTAGGAAGGAAGAATGTCAAGAGAAACTGTGACCTTCATGGAGTCCCTTTGTATGGGGCACTAAGGTGACTGATGGGAAAGAAACACTTCTTTCCTTTCACATTAGGAGCACTTAGTCACTACCCTGGGGAGAGAGGCGAAGAGCAGGTTTGACTGCAGCGTTGCTTCTGTCCATCGGGTTGTTTACAGCCCACCCCTATAGCCTTGTGCCAGAATGCTTCAGAGGTGGAAACTGTGAGGAACGCTTTCCAACACAAATTTCCTAAACTTTGTCTGCCAATGCAGTGTTGACTAGGGTGCAAAGATGGAGCACTGGGTTTCTTGTTACTCCTGGAGCACTCACAGGAGGAAGTGGGAGAGAAGAATTCCAGGGAGGGAAATGTTGCCACATTTTAAAATTTTTTCCCTTCAATTATGTTTTATTTTTATATTAAGTTTTTTAATTTTTTATAGTATTGTTCATTTTTAAATAATATCTGATTCACCCCACCCCCTCAGGTGTAGTCTCCATAGTTTCTTTCACCAGTGCACTCATGCACCATCACCTCAGTCCCCCTCTGCTCCTCCCACCCTCCCTCTGATACCTCTCCCTCCTCCTCCCCTGCATTCATAATTCCTCTCTGATTCATAATTCTCCATTTTTGCTTTGCTGTGTTTTGTACTGTTATTATTTTTTTACACTGATGTCTTATTGGGTTCCCCTACATTCCTGCTATAAGTGAAACCATTTGATATTTTTCTTTTTCCTTCTGGCTTATTTCACTGAGCATAATTCCTTCTAGCTCCATCCATGTTGCTGTGAATGGCATGCATTTATCTTTAAAAAAAAAAAAAGATTTATTTATTTATTTTACACAAGACCCGGGTACAGGCCAGATGTGTGGGAGGGTGAGAGAATTCACCAAAGACAGAGTGGAGAACAAAACAGGCAGACTAACGAAATACACTGCTGGGGGGAGCAGTGGGCGCGACTGGAGAGGTGTACTGCACCATGTGGGACCCTTGCTGGCCGGCCAGGATTGAACCAGTGTTGCAGAGGCTGTGAACAGCTTCGCAGCATGGCACTCAACCGCCTGCGCCACCAGGGGAGGCTCAAGTTTATCTTTTTTGATTGCTGAATAATCCATTGTGTATATATGTCAGATCATCTTGATCCAGTCATCTATTTTTGGGCATTTGGGTTGTTTCCAGGTTAAACTTATTGTAAATAGTGCTGCAATAATCATAGGTGTGCAGGTGTTCTTTTGAATAAATATTTTTGTGTCCTTTGTGTAGATCCCTAGGAGTAGAATTGACGGGTCGTATGGTAGCTCCATTTTTAGTAGACTGAGGAACCTCCAGACAGCTTTCCATAGTGGTTGAACCAATTTGCACTCACACCAACAATGTGGGAGAGTTTCTTTTTTCACTACATCCTCATCAACATTCGTTATTGCTTGCTTTTTGATATGTGCCATTCTTACTGGTGTAAGGTGGTATCTCAGTGTGGTTTAAATTTGCATTTCCCTGAGGATAAGGGATGTTGAACATTTTTTCATATGCCTGTTGGCCATTTGCATTTCCTCTTTGGAGAAATGTCTTTTGAGTTCTTCTGCCCATTTCTTGACTGGATTGTTTATTTTATTTTGTTGAGTCCTGTGTGTTCTTTGTAGATCTTTGTGATCAGTCCCTTATCAGTTGAATGGAGAGCAAAGATTTTGTTCCAAATCAGTGGGGTGCCTCTCTGTTTTGGGTAATGTCTCTTTTATTGTGCAGATGCTTTTCAGTTTGATGTAACCCCAGGTATTTACCTTTGCTTTCACTATCACTGCTTTGGGCAATGGGTCTATAAAGATGTTATTGCAATGTATGTCTTGTAATGTTTTACCTATATTTTCTTCTATATATTTTATGGTTTCAGGGCTTATGTCCAGTTCTTTTATCCATTTTGAGTTGATTTTTGTGCATGGTGAGAGGTAGTGGTCTAGTTATATTTTTTTGCATGTGGTCCAGTTTTCCCAGCACCATTTATTGAACAGACTGTCCATGTTCCATTGCATGTTCTTTGCTCCTTTGTCAAAGATCAGTTGTCCATATAAGTGTGGTTTTATTTCTGGGCTCTCTATTCAATTCCATTGGTCTGTGTGTCTGTTTTTGTTCCAGTACCAAACTGTTTTAATTATTATGGCTTTGTAATATAGCTTGAAGTTTGGAAGTGTGATACCTCCTTTCTCCTTTGTTTCATCAGTGGGGCTTTGGCTATTCGTGTTTTTTTTTGTGGTTCCATATGAATGTCATCAATATTTGTTCTATTTCTTTGAAGAATGTCATTGAGATTTTTATTGGAATAGCATTGAATCTGTACGTTGCTTTTGGTAGGATGGCCATTTTAATAATGTTAATTCTTCCAATCCATGAGCAGGGGATGTCTTTCCATTTCTTTGTATCTTCTTCTATTTCTTTTAACAGTGTTTTAAAATTTTCTTTTTTTTTAAAGATTTATTTATTTATACAAGCACTGGGGTACAGGCCAGAGGCATGGGAGGGTAAGAGAATTCACCAGAGTCAGAGCAGGGAGCAGAACAGGCAGAAGACCTGAAGTGCATTGCTGAGGGGAGCACTGGGCGAGATATTAGAGGTCTGCCTTGCCATGTGGAAATATCCGTGGCCAGCCGGGAATCAAACTGGTGCTGCAGAGGCTGCAGACAGCTTCTCAGTGCTGCACTCAACCCACTGTGCCACTGGGAAGGCCCTTATAATCCTATTTGTGTAGGTCTTTCACCTCTTTTGTTAGGTTTATTCCAAGTTTTTGATTTTTTTTTGTTTCAATTATGGAAGGGATGTTTTTCTTGATT